AAATAATAATTACATATACACACACCATAAACTATTGCATTGTCGTCACCACGGTCCGGGAATGGTGATCCAGCGTTTAATAAGTCATGATGGTTGTTTGGTACACCCTCATCTCCTATAATGGCATCAATGTACAGTGTTGTAAAATCCAGTATGTTGAAATGCTGGTTTACAGGGGGTTGATTCTCTGTGGCTTCGTCACCCCCTGATGAGCTAAAAAAATAGTGAGAAGAAAATTATAACCTCTATCATTATAAAAATTATAATATGTAACTCACCTTTTATCATCATCAGCGTCATTAGGTAGTTGGTGTCCGTTACAGCGTGATAGAATTTCTCTAAAAAAAGATTTACACAGTTCATAAAGCATGTTATATAAAAATTAGTTAGTATATGTACGGACTTACGGAGCTAGACTTGCTTTACGTTGATTTACTTGTCGTAATTTATGCATCAGGGGCATTGACTTGCTCGTTAATTTACCTGTGCTGTATAAATGAAAAAAAGTATGGAAAATGTGCTCTTACCATATGTGGCGGGAGCCGTGGTAGAACAATGAAAATTCAGCAACGCCACCCAGGGTAATGGCCCTGGGACCGCACGGTTTTGATTTAATCTTTTTGCTTTCAGAAGGCCGCACTAGGTTAGGACAATAAAGGAGGTGAATTTTTATTACAAAGATGAGTTTATTTAATAAATACAGAAGTTGAAATAGGCCTAATATTATTTTAAAATGGTAAACAACCGTCATACAGTACACCTTTAACAATAAACAATGTACCCAGTGCTACTTGAGTAGTGGGGGACAGCACCTTTAAATAAACATAAATCAAATAGCTTGTGAAAATAGGCAAACATCACAACAGAAGCAAAAATAAAATAAGACACAGCAAATCATGCACAATAAGGTAAATACACACAGAAAACAGGCAAAGGAAAATAACGTGCAAGCGACAAAAACAAACAAGCATGCAGGAGCAGACATGCGGATAAACTACCCTGATTCCTTGTAGTCTTTGCCTACAAAAAAAAACCAATGTTAAATTGTTCGGTGCGAGTCCACCCCCACCTATGCACGCACTAAGCACGCGCTGAAGCAGCCCAGGGGTGCGGAATGGGACTGGAGCGCTTCTTTTACGCACAAGAGAATGTGGACAACACAGAGGAACAAAACAACGGCCTCCTTTAACAGGAGGTGGCGGCTCCAACGTGGGCCACGCACGCTGTGCGCCTCGTGCCTAGAAAGAAAACACGAGCGTAAACTACCAACTAAGGATTAGCCCTGCAGTGGTAAAGCTTTGGACCTCTTACCTGCCGGTGACAGTGCGCGCACCCGCAGGCAGCAGGAGGAGGGGGAGAGACGTGGGGGAATCACGGCAAAGTCCCACAACAGGCCCAGACCTAAGGAAAATTTGATGTCAGCCCGGGCCAAGCCCAAAATTCAGCGAGACAATGGACGCACTTACCCAGAGAAGGGCCTGGAGCGCACGACGCGTGCACCACGCACGCACTCCCAAGGAGAAGGAGGAAGACCACGCGAGCCAGGCCAGACCGTAGTCCTGGACCTAAGACAACCAACATTAAGAAAGGCTGGCACACAGCGTGCACCAGAAGAGGCTTGTTAAAACCAACCTGGATGATAATGCGTAGAAGCGCAGGGCTCGGAAAGTTAAGGCCCGAACCAGGTGTTGCGGGAGACCACAGCACGCCGCCACCACAATGCCCACTCAAGCTGGTGTGTGTATGAGCGCGCGCCGTGCGCGTAACCGGCTTTCAACGCTACGTCGGTGCCACCCACAATCCATCTTAAAAGGCAGCCTACACCAACCTGCCACACATATTTCATCCCTTGGTTGTAGACCTCTCGTAACTTTTGGTGATGGGGTTAAATCCTCATCGGTGTCATAATGTGTCAATAAACGACCCTTTCCTAGAGATAAACTAAATTAAAACATTTATTATGAATACTGAAAAAAAATGGTATATTAATAACTTACCTGTATTAGACATGCTTATGAAACGTATTGTATAACCTTCACGTAGATGCGTTTGGTCCATTGAAAACTTCTTAGAGGGCGGGGCTCACCATAGTCCCTCCACCCCTTCTGCATGATTCGCTTACATTGTTTGCTTCAGGTTGATAGGCCTGGGGCAGGTCCTCCCTTGCTGCTTGATTCGCTATTATCATGCCATCCCTAACCTGTGTATCGCTGTTTGTTTGTAATCATACGCTTTGCTCAATAAAACATCTTAAGATAACAGTGATGCTTTTGTTTTACCACACACACACTCTGGGTCAACTAGAGGACAACTCATTAAACATTCAAAGTCACAACTCTTGGAAAATACAGTGCTGTAACACCTTTCACCACTTGCTCAATAGCGCCGACCCTATTCTGAGGAGTTCAGGGTGCAGTACCACCTTTCACCACTTGCTCAATAGCGCCGACACATATATCTACTGTCCGGGTATCCAAGTAATGGAGCTGATGTGAGTTTTTCTTTCAGGGTGGTAAATAATCTTGTACACTCATCAGTCCATAGAAAGGGAGGGTCAGGTACAGTGGTTCTTTTCGTACCCCTTTTTTTCTTTCTGGGGTCACCAGAAGTGAGGCGGTAGAGGGGTGCAGCAATCTTTGCATAGCTCTCCACAAACCTCCTGTAGTACCCCGCAAACCCCAGGAAACGAAGGACCTCCTTACGGTTTGTTGGCTGTGGCCAGTCCTTCACCTTGCTTATCTTTTCAGGGAGGTGCGAGTAGTTCAAGTCTCCAAAACAGCAGGTCATCAACCTCTGGAATGTTGATGGGGCATACAATTTGCTTCAAAGAGGCCCATAGGCCCGTTTTATGTTTATCCTGCTCTGCCACCTCCACCTGCCAATACCCCGATGTCAAGTCCAAGGTGGAAAAATACTGTGCTTGTCCAAGAGCTTCCAGAGCGTCTTCAATCCTAGGAAGAGGGAATGCGTCCCTTGTACTGCAGGATTTCAACTTCCTGTAGTCGACGCAAATCCTTAACGTCCCATCCTTCTTAACTACAACCACATGGGGTGACGCATACGGGCTCTTACTTAGGCGGATGACACCGGTGTCTTCCATGTCGTTTAAAAGATTGCAGACATCTTGCCATTGAGCAGGTGGTATTTTCCGATAGGGGAGACGGAACGGCTTGGGATCAATCAGAGGGATTTCATGTTGTACTGTCTTTGTGTGCCCAAAATCCATGGAATGTTGGGAGAATACATCACGGTTCTTTAGCAATAGTTGCCTCAAGCTTTCTCTCTGCTCCTCATTTTCCACTGCAGCCCCACTTAGATCCACTGGACATGTGACAGTGTCCCTGCTCTGAGTCGCCTGCACAATCTGATCTTGAATATGACATGTTTCCATCTTGGAATCCCCAGAGCACTCCCCCTCATTACTCCACTGCAACACATCTCTAACGAGAAAAACATTTGCAAGACAAGTATGTGGTTTAATCAACACTGGCTGGACAGCGAGGTTCATTACTCGGACTGGAACTACGCCCTTCCTGACATAGGCAAGCACTCTGCCCACTACTAGGCCCTCCGGCAGCTGAACATTTACGTTACATTCAATCAGCGCAGTGTACGTTTTCTTTCTTGGCCCCCCTTTTACCCGGCACATCACGTTCATTTCTTTGCTTGCAGGGACACACATTTTACTGCCAGTATAAACCGCAGGGCCAATGCGGTCGTCAAAACCACAAGGTTTTGTGCCACTCACCTCTGTCAAGGCAGAGTACCATTCTGGGTGCTTCTCCTGTACCATAACCAGGAATTGTTTTCCAGATTGGGATTCAAAATGGCTTTTGGAGGCACGTATGACATTAGTACTTCCAAACGTAAATGCAATGAGTTTGCTAATTTTTTCAATGACAAGGTTCAAGGCATCAAAAACGCCATTGTCTCTAATCCACAGATAACCATCCAACAGCCAGAAAGGCTCTCTGAGCTAACTCACTTTGCACCTGTAAATGATAAAACTGTCCAAGAGATAATCTCCAGTTTGAGCTCCTCCACATGCAGCTTGGATGTACTACCCACTAGATTTCTGAAGTCTGTTCTGAGCAGTCTGTTACCTTCACTCACACAGATAGTAAACATGTCCCTTCATTCTGGAATATTCCCAAAGGCCCTGAAAACTGCAGTCATCAGGCCCCTGCTAAAAAAGAGCAGTCTCGATGCTACGGTACTTAACAACTATCGTCCCATCTCAAATCTGCCATTTATGGGGAAAGTCCTTGAGAAAGTTGTCTACCTACAGTTTACTAGATTTCTTATAATCAACAACTCATTTGATATGTTTCAGTCCGGCTTTAGACCCCACCACAGCACTGAGACTGCTCTTGTTAAGGTTACAAACGATATCCGGCTGAACACTGACGCAGGCAAAGTCTCAATCTTAATCTTGTGAGATCTAAGTGCTGCCTTTGACACTGTCGACCATGAGATCCTCTTACAGAGACTAGAGGACTGGGTTGGAGTCGCTGGCACCGCCCTAAGTTGGTTTAGGTCTTACCTTGAGGACAGGAAGTACTTTGTGGAGATTGGAAACTGTGTCTCAGATCATATGGCCCTGACCTGTGGAGTCCCACAGGGGTCGATCCTGGGACCTCTTCTGTTCAATCTCTACATGCTGCCGTTAGGTCAGTTAATACGCAGAAACGAAGTTTCCTATCATAACTATGCAGACGACACTCAGATCTATGTCTCACTGACTGCAGGAGAACATGGACCAGTGGACTCACTCCTTCACTGTATCCAACAGATCAGTGGGTGGATGCAAAACAACTTCCTTCAGCTAAACGCAGACAAAACTGAAATGATTGTCTTTGGTCCCCAGAAACAAAGAGAGAGCGTCATCTGTAACCTATAGTCTCTCTCCCTAAAACCTTCAAACAAGGTCAGAAATCTAGGGGTAATACTGGACTCAGACTTAAATTTTAATAGCCACATAAAATCAGTAACATCAGCAGGTTTTTACCATCTAAAAAACATTGCCAGGATCAAAAACATAGTGTCTAAAGCAGACCTGGAGATTCTTATCCATGCACTTGTCTCCAGTAGGTTAGACTACTGCAATGGCCTGCTCACAGGTCTGTTCAAACAGGCTGTAAAACAGCTGCAGTACATTCAAAATGCAGCAGCTCGAGTCCTGACAAGAACCAGGAAGTACGACCACATTAGTCCAGTCCTCAGGTCTTTGCACTGGCTTCCTGTGGCTCAGAGAATAGACTTTAAAACAGCTCTGCTTGTGTACAAGTCTCACCATGGCCTCGCACCAAAATATATTAGTGACATGTTAGTACCATACGAACCAGCCCGGACTCTGAGGAGCACAGGGACTGGACTCCTGTTAGTGCCCAGAGTCAGAACTAAACATGGGGAGGCTGCTTTTCAGATTCATGCTGCTAAAACCTGGAACAGTCTTCCTGAAGATGTGAGACAGGCCTCCTCTCTGACAATGTTTAAAACCAGGTTAAAGACAGTTCTGTTTAGCTGTGCATACAACTGAGGGATTTTATATTTGTATCTTTCTTTTTGATGTTCTGTGATTATTTATGATTTTAATGCTTTCTTGTTTTGTTCAGCACTTTGAATTGCCTTGTCTATGAATTGTGCTATATAAATAAACTTGCCTTGCCTTGCCTAGTACCCACTAACAATGGAACTCCAGACCGGTACTCTGTTACCGGAATAACAAAAGCAGGCACATTGTCTTTCCCCGGAATCTTGAGATTTATGTATAAAAAACCAAAATGGGGAATAGTATGGCCTCCAGCCCCCTCCATTGGGATGCTAGACTCTTGTATCTCCTGCATACACAGCTCAGGGTGTGAGCGCCAGAAAGTGTCTGTGATGGTGGTCACTTGAGAACCAGAATCAATGAGCGCCTTACAGGACATTCCATTAACTTCAACCTGTCCCTCATTTAAAGGTCCGACAAGTGGGGTTTCCAATTCCTTTTGGGGGACCAGATGCATGCCCATGGTTGCCCCAGTCACCACAGGCTTTAGGAGTTTAAAGGCTGGCCACCTGTGATAGCACCACTATCAGATGTGACAGCGGAGTACGATCCAGCACTGGTAGAGGGCTCATTTTCAGGTAGCACCGCCCTACAGGACCTGGCCAAGTGTCCAGGTCTGCCACAGCGGTGGCACACTATGGTGGCTCTTCGGCTAGGGTCTCTGGGTCCTAAATTCGGCTTGAATGGTGAGGTGGGAGGTGTAAACTTTGTAAATCCAACTGAGCAAGCCTTTTACTTTGTTCTTCTTGATGCAGTGCTATACTTTTCACGAGGTCTGTAAGTTCACGTAACTCAGAAGATTGCTTCCCCGTTTCAGCTCTCTCAGTTGCTCCACTTACTTGCCTATTTGTGACAGTCTGGACCTGGCTGAAAGTCTTCTTCTGCCTCGGCTGGTTGAACTTCTTGGCTTCTCTAGCTATATTCCTGAGCTCATTCTGTAGCTCCCGAAAGCTTAGCATTCTCGGCTTCATGGGAGCAATCCTCAAAAAAACATCCTCTTCAATCAACCCCCTCATGAACTGTCGCACCAGTTTTGCATCACGATCTGGGAATGGTCGGCCGCTGTTTTGGGTGTCTTCCACTTCTCTGAGCGTGGCCTCTAAAGCAATGGCAAAAGAACAGGCTGTCTCCCCTGAACGTTGGGTTCTCTCATAAAAGTCGGCCAGGGGATCCAGAGATCTCTGCATGTCACCATGTTCTGACCGTAGTTCATCAAAAGCCCTCCCTGGGACTTGCTCTATTGGGGGGAGGTTTAGAACAAGCCTTCGTGCCTCTCCACTCAAATGCCTGACAATGGTTGCAAAACTGAGGTGGGATGGTAGGGCACCTGCATCTAAAAGATACTGCATGTCTCTGATCCAGTCCTCAATCAGTATTCTGCAATCTGCACCACCACTGAAAATGGCCACATTTTTTACTTGATGAAACTGAAATTGGTTGGGCTGGGCTGGAAAGGAGGAGGCGCCTGGGTCCCTGCAGACCCATGTGGATAGGCATATGTGGTATGAAGCTGGTTGTGTGATGGATGGGTATGTTTGATTAGCGTGCAGAGAGGCTTGGGAAGCAGGTGCGTTATTAACCCTCACTGGTTGCTGGCTTAGAACAGCGGCATGAGGTGCCATGCTACCTGGAATAATGCCTGTGTTTTGTGGGTACTTTTCAAAAGCAGTTAACATTGGCCCACCGTAGCTGCCCTGGGGATATTGGTAACTGGGCATGTGGACATGGCGTTCTGGTACCTGCATGGGGGTTCCCCCAGTCATCAGATTGAGGTGAAGAGGGTTAGACTGTGGAGGCGTGGGCAGAGCATTATATGCCATATTCCAGGGTGATAATGCCTCATGCTGTTGGGCATACTGCTCCGAGTGCTCAGACGGATTCATCAAAATAACTGTTTGGTCCAAAGTCTGGATCTCTCCTTCTGCCCCACCTGGTCTGTCTGGCTGGCGGTATAACTTTGACATCACCGCAGGGGGAATCGTGGGAATGGGGCGTCGAGGAGTATCTTCATGGAGGTTTTGCACATTACCTTGCATGTTGATTAATTATAACGTGATATCAATCTCTTAAATCGATGAATCAATATTACAGACATATTCACAACATAGCATTCAATCACATAACAAAGCACTATTCAACAATGAGAAAAAAAAAATGTAATAAAGAGCATATGTCTGAAAAATGATATACAGCTTATCATGACGTTAACAGTCCACAGAGTTGTCCGCTCTTCCTCTTATAAACCACCATCCGGGTCACGGCACCAAAGATGTAACCCTAGTTCAGCGATGGCAAGCCCCAAGTGTGATCTCTGCGTTGTGTTGTTTGTGTTACTGGTCAGGGGCCAGCAGTGCGGATAGGGACACCAGGAGTCAATGGTGGAAGAGGCTGAACAGACGTTCCTCATTTATTGCCTTCATAAAAACAAAAGAGAACTGCCCCATTAAGAAGAAATTGTAACTGTTTTTGCAGTAAAAAATTGTACATTCAAAGGCTGAATTGTAGAGTCCACATGCTAACAAGTACACGTGCAAGCTAGCACTCTAAAAACAAAATACAAAGTTATTTTTCCCACTTAAGTTTAACAGAGAAACAGCCTAAATGGACTATGACAAAATGCTAACCCACAATCAATATTTGGCACCCAACATACATTTATACACAAATAAACTTATTTTACACTCGGGAGCTCTCCTTACCTTCATAAAAAAAAGATAACTGCAGCGTTGCGAAGCTGCGGAGGGCTTATATAGTTAAGAAAACAAAGGGCGCCCTCTGTTGCATCCTCACACTATTATTGGATGTTATTATAATCTAATTCTAATCCTAGCAAAATACTTTTTTTTATTTATTGTTTTACTTTTCCTAGGATCCCCAACCTATTTGAGAAGGGTCTGTCTGCGGCTTGCAGTACGGAGGCGTGTCGCGTAGTAGGCGTGTCGTGTAGTGACGTCACTACACCACACGCCTACTACACGAATTTTAAACCCGTTGAAAACTCGAAGAGAAGACATGGCAGACCGTACGCAAACAGTAAGTGACAACCAACAACGTGTTTTATTTATTTTTAGTCCATCACACAAGTTACAGTGTATTAATGAATAAATGCACATCACCCTGATTAAAAATGTTTTTTAAGAAGTGAACTAATACCATGGATCTACGAATACATTGCAGAGAAAGCAATTCGTATGGGTTTCTTCTGAGAGTCATACTATGTGCGATCAACAAGTCATTAGGCACATAGCATAATTGCCCAAGTCATTTTACATCGTTAAAATGGCAATAAAGAGGAAAAACATAACCTTTTCATGTTTTCCAAGAATAGTGGAAAATTAGTTATTAATTATGCAGTTACAGAAGTCACTGACCGTAGTTATTGGATGATGTTACAAGACATTTGTGTTTCTGAGTGTGCACAAATGTTTATGTCTGCTTTCAGTTACATCCTATGATTGTCAGTGATGGACATGGAGCTGCAGAGCTGAAGCAGAGGAACACGCTCATGTGTGTAACTCGTTTTAAACATGGAGAAGCACAGATCATCACACACATGCAAACCCATGAAAGGGCATATGCCAGTACTGTGGAGATGGTGGGGTATATATCTGTGTATATATCTTCTTCAACAACACTGCTACCAGACAATTACATGTTTTATTGGTTGCTTATTCCAAAGCCTGTGAAATTGTTTGACAAAAATAAAGTTGTTTCATTTGCTTTTCTGGATTCTATAATTTGTTTCTTCAGGCATGGAGGACGGTTTGCTCATTTCACCAAAGAGGGAAAACAAATAGTCAATGGGTGTCTTTCACCCATCTTCAGACTGAAGAGGAAGAGACAGCCAACTGAAGAGACAAATGTAAAAATGTGACATCACAATCATTACTGAGTGATATTCATAGTGGCCTTGAACTAACACATTAGCAACTTGCATCCTTTTTCAGCAGCGCCCTTGGACAATGACCAACCAGTGCAAGGCAAAAATGACTGAAATTGTCCAGAAAACACAGCTGGTAAGTGACTGACAACATTATAAGACATTACATAAAGTGCACATGTTATGATTTTAATGTTGATACTGATGATAATGTTATGGAATAACGAATGCTAGAACAATTGTGAGTTACTGGAGGATAGTGAAAAGCCGCTCCATAATTATTAACAACCGTTATTTCAAAATTATTTGTGAGAAATGTATTTTTAAATTTTAGAAAGCGGTAAAAGAAACACAGCGGGTGCAGCAACCTGAGTGTGCTGACGATCAAGTGCATGAAGGGGAGCAGCTCACTTAGGGAACACCTTGAGGTAAACATATCAGCATGAAGATATACTTAGTAAGATTTCAAAGTGAAAGGCTTTCTCAATCATTTTGTTGTTGTTGTCATTTTAGTCATACTGTCAATATGGTTATTACTATCAATAATGACCATCTCCATCCTCTAATGTAACTATTCTTTTTCAGGCTATCTTAACTGGGGACCTTGTTTCAACATGGGAATCCAGGAGGGAGAGGCCAACCCTTTACTTTGAGGACGAGCAACTGGATGAGGTTGTCTCCTTCTTGTTTGCCGTCATCAGGGAGACCCCAAGAGCAAGACAGCAGAACGACTGGATTGACGTCGTCATGATTGTGCTCGTACCGTAAGTATAGCATGATTAACATAATGTTTGTTTTACATTAGTCGGCCCGAGCGCCACCAGGCTGGCACAGGGACTATTGTAATGAAAGTGTGCATAAAACAAACACTGATCCCCCTCAAACATAAACATCTCATGGTACATGTTTCCTGGATGTACACTACTAAAAATAAGTCTGCATTGCAACATTGTTGATGTACAGAGACCATAAAGTCATATGAGCAAGTCACTGACACTTTATTAAACAGGACACAACACCTTTTAGGGCTGCATTTGGTTTTGTGAATTGTTGTTGTTGAATGTAACACATTTCACTCTTATCTAGGTGACAGTTCACACACTGGCCGAGGCATTTCACCTCCATTGCAAGAGGAAATTGGAAAATTCAAAAAGGGGCCAAAGTATGAACCATGGTAAGATTATTTTAAATATTGATGGACATAATTCAATGTGCACTGCAACATCTAATCCGTGATTGTTCTTTTTGGACAGTGAGTTTAAACTGATTGTGGATGCCCTGGTGAGACATTTACCGGAGGAGGCAGCAGGGAGGCTGAAAGCATTTGAAGAAAGATGGAGATTAGCGCTCTCTTCTGAAGCCTTTCTCTCAAGATAAAAAAAAACAAAAAAAAACATGTGGTTGCAATTTGTTTTGTGTAGAACTTATTCAGTGTCTACATTTCAGAGCCATTCACATAACACAAATTCATAAAAAAAGCATGTACTGTACATAAAATGCCAGATAACAATAAGATGTTCTTGATGTTTAATCTCTCTCTTCTACATATTTGACAAAACACAATAATAATGAATGTCTGCTTGTCCCAAAATGCCAAAGCAGGGAGCTGGGCACAAAAAATGTTATGGCATGTTCTCTTTATGATCAGTAATGTGAGACCGTGGGCGTAGGAGTGTGTGGTGGTGGTGTAATAATAGCTTTATCTTGTGTTGTGCTTTTCAATCCTGTGACAAGTTTCTCAAAACCACACACTGTAGTCTTTATTCATTTATTCCACACAGTGTGTCACAGCTGGGTTGGAGGATGCCAGGCTGAAAATCTGTGCTAATGGCCACCACCAACCAGTCTCTCACTATGTCCACACATGTGGGTGAAGTGAATTGCTCAAGAACATAACAGACTGCACTTAGGGCAGCCAGGATTTGAGCCACCGACCATAGGCCCCTTTTATAAATGAATGTACACATTAGACATAAGCACTGACATTATTTGACTCTTAACTTAACTTTTGTCCGGAGCCGCTTCAAATCCCTATTGATTGTCTGAAGTAGTCTGAAGTAATGGCAGCTTTTGTAGGCAAATTTACTACTTTGATGTTTACAAAATGTGTTAATTTTCCCCCAATAAATAATGATGACAATGACATGCACCATAAAATTCATTATTGCACATAAATTCATTATTGGGCATAGATAGTAGGTACTTACTACTGCTCATACCCGTATTATAATAGATCCTTGCTCATACCCCTTTAAGAAACGAGGAGTGGGCGTGTCGTGTAGTGACGTCACTACACGACACGCCCAC